TAATAAATATATAATAAATATAATTTCAAAACTTTGATAAATTTAAATTATATAAATATTTTTATTATAATTGACCATTTTCTTTTTATTAGAATAAATAAGATTTATATATATATAGATTTAAAATAAAGTATTTATGTAATAAATGAGAATTTTAAATTTAATATCTGAAATTTTAATTATTTAGTTTTTTATAATTAAATAATCAAATATCTGCTTAAAATTTGATTAAAATAGATATTATAATTAGTTAGTTATATTTAATACTACTAATTACAGATTAAATGATTTTTAAAAATAATAATAAAAAATAAAAAATATTAATTCATATAAATTTTTAAATTTTTAAAATATTATATTTTTCAATTTTTTTAAAAATATTTTTTTAATATTAAATTAAATTTTGTTATTATATTAAATATTAATAAAAAGTATATATATATATATATATATTAATAAGATTCTTATATATTATTATATCAATAAACTTTACTATTATAATTATAATTCAAATTAATTCAACACCATTATCCTGCTATTTATATTTAAATTGAATTTAAAAAATGCAAATTCTAAAGAAATCATAATACTTTATGTTAAAAAAAAATTTAATAATAAACTTTACTTAATGATTCAATTTTCAAAAAAATATTTAAAATAAATTATAATTAACAAATTTATTTCTATAGTTTGAAGTAATTTAACCCAACTTTTATAATTAATAAATAAAAAAAATCTCTTAGTAAACACGGGTCGTATGAAACACAGGTCATATATATGATATATGTGGAGTTGCGTTTAGTTTAGGGTTAGTGTTAGTATACAGATTAGGTTGCTATTTATCATGCCGCATCACACCCAAATATGTTTCGTTTTTACTAATTAATCTTGGGAACTTTGAAAATTTTTTATACTAAAAATGTTATTTGTCACCCGCTATGTTTCACATAGTGTTCAAACACCCCGTGTACAAATATCTAAAACAATAAAATTTTATCTTTTTTTATATAAGCAAAAAAAAAATACATATATATATAAATTGAAACTTCATTCATATAAAATATAGTATATATTATAAAAATAAAACTATAATTAAATTGCAAAGAAAAAAAAAATTAACATTAAAATTAATTTTGAAAATACATTGTTTCTTATATTAAAATTATAATTATTCTAAAGATTTAATGATATTATTTACAAGTAAATTCTAATTTAACAATATTAAATTTTTATAAAGTTGTCACGTGGAACGAAAGCGGAATTTTTTCGGGTGTTACTAAACATAAATGCGATGCGACTATCATTCGAAATCTATCTTTTATTGCAAATTTGGTAAACAATATAATTAAATTAAATTTTTCTTTAAAAGAAAAAAAAAAAATTATTTCTCTGTAAAATAAGTTTTGCCCATTAAAAGTTAAAAATCATGTCAAAGGATTCTTCGATACTTATTATAATATGGCTTTTAATTCAATTATTAATTGATGTAAATTGCCAAGCGAAATTTAAGTCAACAACACCACGATACCTTCATACCGCAACATTTATCAATAAAAAATTATACATCTTGGGTGGTCGAAATGATGAGATGGCTAGTATTGCCGGAAAAAAATTTTTTTATCTCGATGTAACTGCCTCATTTGATACAAACGAAGTGTTATGGAATGACTTAACCGGTAATAATAATGTTCCATCACATGATAGTGCGACATCTGTTACGGGCGGTATCAACAATAATAGTTTGATTTTATTGGGAGGAATTCCTCAAAATGATAAGGAATCAATGGATTTGGTATACAAATTTGAAACAAAAACCAACTCATGGACTCTCCCGAGAATTTCTGAAAACAAAGTTGACAATATAATTATCAGCATAAGTAGTTTAACGGGCATCATCAATAATGGACAAATTTATTTGTTCGGTGGAAAGGTAAATAATGAAGATTTTAATGATTTACTTGTTTTAGACATAATAAATTTGAGCTGGGGGAAAGCAAGTATAGTTAATGCGCCGACTCCAAGATTTTATTATGGTGCAACTCTTTTACCAGACCAATGCATTATTTATTTAGGTGGTTATCACGACGGACCTTTACCACTAAATGAGGTGAATTAATTAGTAAAATTTATAAAACGTATGAATGATAAACGATTATATTTACACCTGCTTAATAATTTTAGATATATATATATGACACAATTAATAATTTTTGGGCTACAACGGTAAGTTATCCTTATAATTTATTATTTATATCCTTAATAATTAAAAATATCTTGAACAATATTTTATATTTTTTTAATTAAACTAGATAACTCGGGGAGCAAATCCTTCTGATAGATATGGATTTTCTGTCGTTCTTGGTAAATGATTTCACGAATTATCATTAAAATATTTTTGAATGTCATTTAATACAGTATAAATTTTATTTTAAAAGGATTGGATGGACGACGAATAATAATTTTTGGAGGATATCACCTTAAATCACTTGATCCACAAGATTCCCTTTATGTATTAGATTTAACAAACTTTAGATGGTACACTCCAAAAATTTCTGGAAAGGTTCCAAGTTCCCGGATATTTCATCAAGCAAACGTGATAGAACATTATATGGTTATATCATTTGGTAAATATTAAATGTTTTTTTTTTATTGTCTAAAAATAAATAATAATAATCATACCATTTCGAACTTTCTCTGCATTTATGTTTAATAGGAATGGATTATAATCCAAACATCGATAATGATATTTTATTGCTTGACATTGGTGATGAACAGGAATATATATGGACAAGCTCTTTTGAAGTAAATCCGACTGTACCAGTTACAATTGGCATAATTATAGGATCTGTAGCTGGTTGCGTTCTTTTATTACTTGGAGGTCTTTTTATATATAAACGGTATACAAATAAAAAGGAAAAAAATAAAGTTGTGTTACCAACTCCTGAAGTTGTTGGAAATAAAGACGTTAATAGAAGAGATATTAATGATCTTAGACATGAAATTTTAACGGTTCCAACAGATAATAATGATGATGGAAGAGAAATAACATCAAACATCGATTATCAAAGATCAGGGTCATTACGGGACGTTGATCTGAAAAATTTTAAAAACGAAATGCTTCAAATAGTTAGACAAGAAATTCAGCAAAATTTGAAACAAGATGTAGCACAGAATAGTGAACAAGCTTCTAATGCAAATGTCCTAGAAAATTTTAAAAATGAAATGATTCAAGTAGTTAAACAAGAGATGGAAACTTTAAGACAAGACGCAGCACATGATAGTGGACAAGGTTCTAACAATGAAATGTTTACGAATCATGGTTATTATTATTATTAATATAATTTTTAGATTTTTTTTACTTGCCTTATTATTTTGTATAAATGTTAATAGGACTTTAGATTTGTATAATAGATTCTGTTCGTTTTGTAATTATATTTATTAAAATATTTAGATATACTGTATCATGAGATGTCTTTAAATAAATTTTAACACCACTGTACAGTACAACAGTTATTTTAGTTTTTTTTTTTTTTTTTTTTTTTAAAAAAAAAAATAATAATACGAAATACTTTCATTATATTATAAATTAATAAGGTCCTCTTATGGACCGGACTGGTAAGACCGAATGGTTTTTTGGACCGTAACGGACCGGACCGGTTCATTTTCTTTTGTCAACAAAAATATTTGATAGCATAAACAAATTTCTAAACTTCGTGCATAAATTCAATGTGCATAGTATATAAAAAGATAAAATTATTGCTTTTAAAGTTAAAGAAACATTATGAAACTTAATGCACACCAAGAATAATCTATTGACTTTTAAAGCCTGCTATAAATATTTTATCGGTCATTTACTATTTGATGATTTTGCTAGTACAATTAGTTACTAATCATTTATTATTGTTATTATGTCAAATTGTAAATTACTATTAGATAACATTATTTAATATAGTTTAATAGCTAATTATTAATTTATTTATTGAAATTTCAATTTTTATAATATTTCTTAAACTATCGTCACTTTCTTGTATTTGTGATATGTATGATTCATCAGGTACATGTGACGCAGACAGACAATTGTGTTTTGAGGAACTCTACCTTTTCGCAAGTGCTAATTGATTATCTTTGTATGAAATATTTTGTCATTTATATTATCAAAAGAAAAAAAAATTTTTTTTGGGAAAAACAAGACGCGTAAAAGAAAAAGAAATATCATTTGTTCTTATGAAAAAATGGTTTAATAAAGCTAAAAAAAATAAGTCAAAGTTTTTAAATTACAGCTAATTTCAAAAGTCACGGGACGGACGATCATTTTGCAGATCGATTAAAAAAACTCGTTAAAACTCGGTATAGAATTTTTGAAGAAAAAACATTATCGCTACGTTCAAATCATTGTTCCGAATATAGCGACATAACTTTTTTACCTATATAAAACTGTGGTTGGCTTTTCAAATCCTTATAAATGTTCTCGGAAAAGTCTCGGTTATTATCGGCTGTCCCGTGACTTATGAAATTAGCTGTAAACTAAACCGATAAAACAGTTACTCAGCACTACGTGACCTCGTAACTGCGGCACTGCCTTTGCCTTACATGTATTTGCAATAAGAATATGATCAAGTGAGCGGAACTCAGCAAATTCCACCAATAATATTGCTTATAGCAAATACAACAGTTACTCGGCACGAAGTGCCGAGTAACTAATTTTGGGAATCATAAAGGAAATATGCCTTGAGCGTTCAAAGAAGATGTAGTAGTTGATTGAATCCAAAATCAAAATTTTTTCAAATGTTTACCCGCAGAAAGTTTAATTACTGCCACAAATTTTCTTGTAAATTTTTCTCAGAAGAAGAATGGTTTATTAAAAATTGATAATTTATCTGGTCAGATTTAAGTGATAAACTTAGGCGTGGCAACAACGCGAATGAAACGACATACATTACCTCAATTGTATGTGCTTAAAGCAATTTCAAATGGAATTATATGCTATTTTTTTTTTTAGTATAAAGCGTTTTCATTAGGACCCTTTAACCCTTTACTCGACATTTACTAAAAGACCTCACCTTAATTCTTTTGTTCATCCGTTTTTAGATTCTGCCTTATGATACATTGCCCATTTAAATTATGAAATTGGTGAAAAGTAGTATCTAATATATGTCGAAAGGTCAAAGCCAAAAACAAAAGATGAAAAATGAGTGAAGATTTTGAAAAAAAAAATAACTAGAAACTAAAAGCAGATGAAAATACCTTGATATTTTGAAGGATTGAAAGCGACCCCAATTCAGAGTCGGTATACTGAATTTACTTGATTTACTTGAGTTACAAATAATTTTTATCAATTTTAAAATTCGACTCAAAAGAGTCGGCTCTAAATCATATCGTCACCAAATTAAGACCGAATTTGTTTGATAACGAATAATTTTTTTTTTTAAACGATCAACATCTACTTCAGGAGAGACGAAGCAGAACCGAAGAAGAACCGTCCCCATCCCTAGGTACGTAGAGTTAAAAAATTTCGCGTTTCAATACTGATATCGCAATTGTAGGTAGACAGCTCAAATATTTTAATGAAATGGAGCGCTACGCCATTGGTTTGGTTTTATCGAGTTGATTTTAAAATGGGCAATCAATACATACAGTTTGTTTTACTAAAAGATTGTTTATTAATAAACCAATTCTAACTTCTATTGTCTATGTAACGTTAGTCTATGTTAAAACATCAATCAAGGGATTCATATGGAAGGTGCATGCTTTACTTGATTATCTTATTTATATATATTTTTTTTAATTACTTGGAAAAAAAGCGCGATTATAAAAAATTACTCAACCTAATCAAAATTTTGATGAATAACTTCATTTTATTTATTGAATATCGATTTGGTCATTATGACGATAATCGTCCATCCTTCAAATATGTGAATTTGCTATTTACACTTTGGGTTTGTAATTTGATTTTTCTGAAGAAAAAAATTAATTTGGCGCTATGAAATATTTCATTTTTAGATAATAATATTATTCGCAGATTCTCCGTTTCCATTGTATATAGAATAATTCGATGTTGACTCATAAATCGCTCGTATTTACCCCGGTTAACAAAGGTCAACCAATATTTCATTAATATTTTTGAGCTCGTAACTAGTATGAAAACCACTGCCTTGTCAAAAGCGTGAAAATTTTGGAAGAACGATTTGTTGGGATTCAAAAATTTGGCGAAGGTAGGAATGTTATTTATAATTTAGGTAAGAAAGAGTACAAGGAAAAAAAGTTATTATGTTCATAAACCCTGGGTTTCTTTTATTTTTATTTAAAAAAAAAAAAAATGAAAATTATTTCTTAATTAATAAGATTATATCCAAGAAAAAAAAATTTCTTTTTTGATTCTTAGACTTCATAATAAAATAAAATGGTTGATGTCTTTAAATTTTAAGAAAATGAAATTTAATGTTAAATTACAAAGAAAATTAAGGAAAGAAAATATTAATTCTATATTTCGTTTTTAAAAGTTCTTCTAACTTGACTTGGGATTCTTGAAATCCTTGTATAGCAGATTGTTCATACCAATAAATTGCTAGAATTAAATCATCCTCATTTTCGTAATAATGAGCAAGTTTATTTTGAGCTGTTATATTATTTAGATTTGCAGCCCTCTCATAAAATTCAAATGCCTTTTGAATATTAACACTAGTTCCTATACCATCTTCATAACATTGTGCCAAATTTAATATTCCTTCCGGATGATTTGTTTCCGCCGATTTTTGAAAGTATTCAAAGGCTTTATCATTATCTATATTATCACTATTATCACCTAATCCGTCTCGGTAATATTTACCAAGACACAACATGGCAGATGTATTTCCATGATTCGCAGCCCTCTCATATAATTCAAATGCCTTTTGAATATTAACACTAGTTCCTATACCTTCTTCATAACATTGTGCCAAATTTAATATTCCTTCCGGATGATTTGCTTCCGCCGATTTTTGAAAGTATTCAAAGGCTTTATCATTATCTGTATTATCACCTAATCCATCTCGGTAATATTTACCAAGGTAAAACATGGCGAATATATTTCCATCATTTGCAGACCTTTCATATAATTCAACCGCTTTTTTTTTATCAATACTTGTTCCAATTCCTTTTTCATAACAATATCCCAAAGCAAATGTTCCTTCTGTAGTGTATCCTTCTGTAGACTTTTGAAACAATTCAAAAGCCTTTATCTCATCCACATCAACACCATTACCATCGCGATAACAAGCGCCAAGAGCAAATAGGGCGGTAAAGTTTCCATTATTAATGGACTTTTCATACCAATGGATTGCCAATTGTAGGTCCTTCTCAACACCTACTCCATGTTCATAAAAATTTCCAACCGATAATTGTCCTGATGAAAAGTCCTTGTCGGCCGCTTTTTTATAATATTCGAATGCTTTCTCATCATCTTTTGTGACAATATTGCCCGTGAAATAATAATTTCCAACGTAAAAGTGTGCTAGGGTATGGTTTTGTTTTGATGCTTTAACAAATAAATCAAAAGCCTTTTCCTTGTCGCAACTCATTCCAATTCCATGATGATTTAAAAAACCGAGTAAAAAAATATTATTTAAACTACTTTGATTAACTTTTATCCAATTAACAATGTCTTGTAAAGTAAACTTTTGATTATTAAAATAATCAAGAATAATTTGAATGAACCTTTTCTCACCACCTGTTTTGTCTCTCTCGTTAAAAATAAGTTTAAATATGTCTTCAACGATTATACTTAAATGATGTTCAGGTGGTATAATTCGTTCATTTGATAAAATTTCTATCATTTTTCTTGTCTTCATCTGATCAAAATTTTGAATGGTTCGAGCGCTTGAAGAAGAAGAATCAACAAGATTTGATTCATGATTATTTCCCGTTGTTATGCTTGTTTTTGTGATTAATGCTTTTACGACTTGTTTCATAATCGGGCGACTGTCTGGTTCATGATTCCAACACTCTAAAAAAAAAAAAAAAAAAAAAAATTATATATATATACATTAAAATATAAATTTAATGATCGAAAAGATCATATTTAAATAATATATTTACCGGTGTAAACATTCACATAAACTTCAGGTGTATTAGGGGAAATTGTCTCTCTGAGACCTTGTGAAATTTTCTCAGACAACGATCTAAGGTCATTTTGTTCATCTTTGATTTGAAAAGGACGATGACCGCTAGATATTTCCCATAAAAGTACACCCACACTATAAACGTCGCTCTTTTCATTTAGTTTATACGTTTGTACATTCAAGCTTTTTGGATCCATATAAGGGATCACGTCATAAATTTCTGTTTGACGTAAAGATGATACTTCCTCAATTCTTTTAGACAAGCCAAAATCAGCCAGTTTAATACTTTTTTGATGAATTAGAATATTGTTGGAGTGCTATTATAATGATTTCATATAATAAATTTAATCATTGTTGCAAAAAGTGCTTTGAAAATTAAAGAAAGCATACATTACCAAATCTCGATGTACAATCCCTTCATCATGTAAACATGATACAGCATAAGCCAATTGAAACGCCAAATTGTATTTATCATCCCAAGAAAGTTTTTCAAAATTATTCTCCAAATAGTTTCGAAGAGTGCTACCGTCAGCATATTCCATTACCAACGAATATTTTCTCAACTGATCATCTTCATTATCAAATTTAAAAAGTTTTTAATTTCTACAAGTAAATTACTTTTAAGTTTTAATTTTGTAAGTGGGGAAAAACATATATACCTTGGTCAGAAGCTGTAATACCGTAGAAGCGAATGATATTATCGTGAAAATCAACGTCGCGTTGAAGCTTGAACTGCACCATAATTCAAGATTTTAAAATATATTTCGAAGATTAGAAGTATGAATGATAAAAATATTATAAATACCTCATGAACAATTTCTTTAAATGAGATGTTGTTAATGTTGTAAAAGGATTTCAATGCAAAATCTTTATGAGAATTTTTACAAGTTGCGCGATAGACTGTACCGAATCTTCCAAAACCTATTTCTTGAAAGTCGTTAAAATGGTCATATTCGTAAGATTTAATAAGGTCTTCAGAAATAGCTTTTTCAATTAAATTATGCATTTTGACTTTTAATATAACTTGTGTGTGTGTAGTAAAAGTAATTTAAAAAATGTTGCTTGCAAGAAAGAAAATTATTCTAATACAAAAGTGAAAGAAATTACCCCTATTTATGGGTACAATGATAAAAAAAGGAATAATATTCTATATATGGTTTCTCATTGAATGTTTCGACTTCGTGAAACGTGAAGTAACCAATCAATAATCTTCTTTTCGTCATGTTGCATGAAGATTTCGTTTAGAAATTATTCAAAATTTAACATTGTCAACCAATGAATTTCGTTCAAAGGGCTTGCTTATTTTTCTTCCAAACAATTTTTATACTTTACAGTTTAGAAATATTCATTCCTATTTATAATTCCTCATGTAATGCAAGTAAGCCAATGAATTACGAGGTTCCAATTTAATGCAAATCAGCCGAATGACAACTTTCGTGAAACAGAAATTGACGTTTATCATATGCTTTATTCCGTATTATGATATGATCATGCAAATCCGTGACTTACAAATTTTCAGAGCCTCAAATTAAAATAAAATGCTAAATAAGAAATAAATAAATCCCAATTCTTTTTGTTTTCAACTTGAAAAACAATCTTTCCTTTCCTTCATCTCTGGATAATTCGAATTTAAACGGATCATTTATATTGCGATTAAGGTCATATTGAACAAAATAGGTTAATTAGCAAGCTAGATCGCTTTACAAAATTAAGAAATCAACTGAATGTGTTTCATTACCTTTAACTAAGTAATTGATTTTATAGAGGGCTGAACGAAGGGAATGAAATAAACAATGCATCTGTATTTAATACTTTCTTAGAAGAAACTAAAGCAGATTATCAAAATGGAGCAATGCTTTAAATTTCGCAGAAAGTTATAATGCCGCCAAAACATAATCTTGTTCTTGAATTACAAATCTACTTAATCGAGAGAACTGAACGTTGCTTAGACACCAGTCAGGTTAATTCTTTATCGATTTTACTGTGATTAACTAATATAGGTCGTTTGCTATTAACTCATGAACAACATACCCTATCACAAAACATCTTGTGTCAGAGCCTCATGTGGAATAATTTGTAACTGTAACGCTCGAAATTTATGTTGTAGGCTCTGGACTTGACTTTCCAACTCTTTTTATTATGTATTAAATTTTATGTTGTTATTATCCCATTTTAATCTAATAAATATGTTAGAAATTGGATATAATTGAAAATAATGTAGCAATTGATTTTACAATTATTAAGCTTAAAACATTCTCTCAATAAATCAATCATTCATCCATATTATTATGTTGAACTTATTAATATGAGAAGTTATTTACCATAAAGATAATACATAAAATTGAAAACTTAAAGGCTTATGAACTTGTTACTTTTTACGACAACATTTACAATACGTTCATGGCCTTTAATGTAACAGCGAGGATATAGTGACAAAATTTAAAAAGGTCGGTCTCTTGAAAAATCAAAGTAAAAAGTTTTTTTTTTTAAAATTAAAAGCGTCAAAACTTGGAGATATTATAGGGAACGCGCGTTGACATTTGAATTACAAACTAATCGTCCTTGCCATTATAATCGATCCCTCCAAGAACCTAGGATGATTAAATGGGTTAAATCAAGTCGAATAATGATTATGTGTGGCTTTTCCATCAAAGACCGTATGTTACACAGATTTTACGACATATTCAAGATATTAAATTAATGATTTAAGTTAAATGTATGCATCATTTTTCCTCTAATAATAAAGATCTAAGTGCGCATCATTTAGTTATTCCTTGTTCTATGTTTACAGTCTTTCATTAAATTGAATAATTCTACTCAAATAAATAAACGAATTAATATATTAACTAATAAAAAGTATATATATAACTTTAATTATAACTTTGCCGTGATAGAATTTTTATTTTAAATCCTAGGTCCACGAAGATCTTAGTAGTTTCTCATATTAACTATCATAATCATCATGAAATTTCCTTCAATTCCAATTGTTTAGAAGTTGAAACTGGTTAGCTTAAAACTCCATGATATTCTTGATGAAGCAATTAAATCATATTCGTCCATTTGCTGAAAATAAACATTTCTCTATAAAATAAAGGCAGCTGTACCTCTTCTAACAAAGCTCCATGACATATGGTAAGTCGACTTAGTGAATTTTACCTTTGTATTCCTCATCCACTCTTTAGAATTGGCAAAATTATATTAGTAAACTTGATCGACTTTCCCACATGACAAAATTCAAAGCAAAAATGATTCTATTTATAAAAAAGTACAAACGAAAGCGTTACAAATTTCTCACGGCAAATCTTCGTATACATAAAAAAAATCCGTTGCTTTTTTAATAATTGCCACCATAAACTTGTCAATTTCTGTGCCAAAATTAATTTGTTGTCTGAGTTCAAGACGCAAGCATCGTTATGTGTAAAAAACGGCAAATCCAAGTCTGCATTGATGATATTCCGCTAATTTCTTTACATAAGTTCGTGAGCATCCGTGGTATCAGGTAATTAATTGTATTTTCAAAAGAACGTACCAGTAAGATTCATATCCATCAAAAAATTGAGTGGCTCGAAAGTGTTCTGTTGCTCCAATTGACAGCCGAAGTTGATCTAGACATCGTCGGTGCTCGCAATATAATTTTCGTTATCTTACTCTCTTATATTCCAATAAAAAGGTTATGCTGGGATCTTGATATTTCTTAATGGGGGGCTGGTTAAAGCCGTGTTCGATACATGAATAATAGGGTTTTTGGCCCGAATTACGGCATTAAGTGATAGTGTCACATCGTTTTTGAGTTTTAATGCGTGACAAATATTTTGCGATTCACGTGATTGAACACATCCCCTATCATATCCGCGCATCCTTAGAATTAGGCCAAATTTTTGATCCCCAAAAGTTGATTTTTCATATGATTTTTGGTATAACAAATACATCGTGACCGATAAAAATAAAGTCATCAATCATAAGGTTCGTGTATCGAAAAAACAAAATACATAGTAAAACCGCGTCTAACCCATCGACGTTTCTCAAAACACATCATAACTTTTTAACAAGGTAATGCCTATTAGAATACTGTTATACTTGTACCAATATTATTTGGTTTATTTTTGTTTTTTTGAAAATATAACTTATTAGAGATTCTTTATAACTTTCTAGTAAATAAGTAAATAGAGGAAATTTCACATAATCCTTCTCCTTTACCATTAAAAATACTTTGTAAAGTTGTCTTCGTACTTTTAATACTGATCAAGGATTATTTTTACATCACAAAACTGTCAGCAACCTGAAGAACATATTGAGATTTTACCTCCACAAACTAATTAAAGAATTTCAAGAGATTCTTGTATATCATATTTACAGAAAATTAGATAAAAATTATACTCAAGCAGGATGCAAAGCAGTTACTCTTTCCTGTAATAGAAGCCAATTTTTTTCAATTTTTCGTGGGTTTATTCATTATTATCAGGCTAAAAGAGATATTTACAAAAGTTTTTTTTTTGAGGAAGTTGGGATAAAAAGGAATTAAATTATATTTTTAATAATAAGTAATGGTTAATTAAATATTATGATCAAGGACAAAAACTTATATAGTTTTATTAGATCAAACAAAAAATTCATTGTTAAATTATAAACAATGTAAAGAAAAGAAAATAGTAAATTCTTTAATGTTTACATCTACTAAAAAAATGATATGCAAGAAAAATATTAAAAGACAAAATTCTCAGTATAATAAGAGTAAGGTTATAATTGAATGGAAGGAAAAAAGAATGTGAAAATAATAATAATTTTTACAATGCTGATCAAATAGCTATACATTTTTATATATTATAGATTTATTTAGAAAATTAGATAATAAATAAAAGATGTAAATATAGATTAATTTAGAATAATAAAATATCAGAAAATTTATTAGAAATTATATTAATTTAATTTAAAATACAAATTTAACTTTCAATTAAAAATTTTAATCAAAATTTAATTATTTAAATCTAATTTCTTCAAATTTTTTGAGGTCTATTAGAAGTAATAGGAATATTATTAAATAATTTATAAAGTGATCTATTTTGTTTTTCAAGTATTTCAATTATTGTAGCTTTAAGATTAATAGCTTTACCTCTAATTTTTCTAGTTTTACAAAAAAAAAAAATATTTACATATGATTTTTTTAATTAAAGAGCAAAAAAAAAATTTAATATCTATTTATTATATTTTATAAAAGGTATTCAAATGTTTCTAAATAACTTATTTAATAATCAATAACTATAAAAAAGAGTGATCAACACTTAGTTTGTTTATATATAAATATTTTATTTACATATGACATCATAAATCACCTGATTTATTTACTTTAACATAATTCACAAAAAAATAGAAAAAAATGAATTAACTACAGAATAACATAAGATGATATTTATTATTATCAATACAAAGATTCATATTAAAAAATTGCTGAAACTGTTGGGTATGAAAAAATAATAGTTTTTGATACATAAAAATAATATAATAAAACTGGTTCTATAGATTCTAAAGTGTTGATCTGAATGACTATATTTAATTAATAATAATTAACGTAAAGGTTTAAATATTTAATAACAAATAAAAAATATAAAATCAATAACTATATACTATTAAAATGAAAGAATTTTGATTTTTATAAATATCACTTGTTTTACACTTTATTCATTTAGGTTAAGAAATTGTATTATATAATATAAGTTTCTTATTTTACTTACAAATAAGTAATATGACTTGTATGATATTTAGAGCATAAAAATTAGACTAAGAATTATTAGACAAAGGATTTATGAAGTGATGAATCAATTTTCACCTAGTTTTAACAAAGTCACATTAGTAGAATATAAAGAAAACATGATCACTCTCTTGTATTTTAGTCACAGTTAAGCATAATCCTAATTGCATATATTAAAGCTATTTTTCTCAATAGGAAGTAAGACCAATTGTGCTACTATAAAGATCAGCAATTGAAGCTATACATATTAAAATACTTTGTAAATATATTATATCTATAATGCAGCATATATTTTTAAATAGAAATGGATTATTTTAAGAAGATAAGGCTACTTATTACAGATTAATAATTATAGCAATATTTCATATAGAAAAGAATTTATATATTCTTTCTTGGTTTGCTCAAAATTCAAACCTTATTCTAGTTGAAAATTTGTAAGCTAAAGATAAAAAAACATTTACAAATGAAAAAAAGCCAAGTAATCTTGCTAAACTTAAAAAATGTATTCAAAAGAATAGAAAGCAATTCTGAAATATTTGATTAAAAATTTAATTAATAGCATATCAAAATAAATACAAATAGTAATTTTAGTGAAGAGAGATTTAACTAAATATTAGTTGCTTAATATGAAATATAGAACTTATTATACTTTAAATAAAATATTAATTAAGCTTTGAAAATTTATGCATTAAAATTTTTCATTTTATATTAAGTGAAAAATTATTTAGAAATTTTTGGATACCTTCTGTACTATATAAATTCTTCTACATGCAAACTAATATATGCATCTATTGATAAAGATCTTTAATAAAATTATTATTATTAGGATTTTTAATTGAAAGAATAAGAAAATATTTAAGTCATATTTTAGCAGCAGATTGAAATTCTATAAGATCTATTTTTATTCTTTAATGTAATATATAAATTATTAAATTTATCTTATAATTTTTATATTATTTTTGCTCAAATAGAATCTAAAATTATTTTTAAATTAAAATACTTTAAGATTATCTTGACCTATCAGTGAAGTATATAACTATTTATTAAAATCCTTTTCTTATTAGAATTGAAAGTGAATATTAATTTAATATATTTCTTTAATAATAATTTTACATGCTATATCAAAATATCTAAATATAATTATTTTATATATTAATAATCTATTAGTAATTCTTAATATAATATGCAATTCATTAATAAGATAATTTTTTATATTAATTATATCAAACAATGGATTTTTTGATAATCTGAATAATAAGTGAAATTATTTTTCAAATTATTCATTTTTTTTGAAATTATCTAATTAGTACTTAAATCATTATGCTAATTTTTTTTTGATTAAATATCAGAAATAAAAATAATTACTTATTGAAGAATTAAATCCTAAATAAATAATTAAAAATTTTTAGTCAGAAGAAAAATAAAATTCAAATTTCAATATATTCTATTAATTATAAATTCTTAATATTTAAATTGTTATAATTCTTTTCATAATAATTTACATATTATATCTATTATATTATATTCCTCTAATCTAGAATATAAAATGAGAATATAATGATATTTTAGAAAAAAAAGTAACTTCTTCATAATTAAAAATTATAAATATTAATATAATATTATACTTTATGATTATCAGAATCCTGAAATATATATATAAAGATCAGGTGAAATCAAAAAGATTTTACAATTAATTATATATAAAATTTTAGAGTTAGAATTATTATAATATCAATCAGTTGCTATAATAAGTAATAAAATCCTAACTAGCATTAACAAAAATTATCTATAAAAGGAAAGATTTATAATCTGACCTTTTTCAGGAACTTTGATTAATATTACATCTATCTCTAAAAATTCTAATTAAAATAAGAAATTATGATAGATTTAAAATAATTTTTTAACTAAATTTGATATGAAAAATATTAAAATTTCTTTAATACTTTAAATTTTGCTTTATCAATTAAATTAATAAATGTTTTTATAATATTCTCATTTATAATATTTTATCAGAATCTATTATAATTGTCAAAGATTAATTATACTAATTTTAATATTTGTTTCATTAAATAGTTAATAAAGATTTTTTATTTAAATATTATTTTTTTTCTTAGTAAATTTAATTTAATTGCTACAAGATATTTATAATTATTACATAACATTTGATTTTTTTCTATTACTCTTACTATTGTAACCTCTTTTTTATATTTTAATACTTGATTTTTTTTCTATAATTAATATTATATCTTTTATTTTTAACATTAAAACTTATTGATTTTAATTGTGAAGTATCTTCTAAAGATAAAAATTATTACTAATGTTAGAAAACTATTCTAATATTTTAGATACTACCTTTTTTACTTATTTTATTAATTCAGAAATTGTTATATTATTAATAAGTTTTAAAGTCTTTTTATATTTTATTTTTTAATATTCTTTTAATTTGTTAAGCTATAAATTAAAAAATAAAATTTCTGATATTCTTGTTTTTTTTCTGTAAATTTCTATAAAAAATTATAAATTAATATATTATTTAAATAATAAATTAATTAGAACTTATTATATAATAAATCAGTAGCATTAGTAGCTAATAACTTTAAAGATACTTGTTTAATAAAATTTCTTTTATATTGTATATAATATAAAGGTTTATTTTATAATATGTAATTATACATTAAACAGTTTTATTTTTGTTTTTCAACTTTAATTTATTTATATTTTATAATTATCAGAAATAGAAAAAAGGTTAATACACAAATAATTTAAAGAATCTTTTTATCTGAATAGTTTTTTGCTATAATTACTTTATAGATAAAACTTTTAATTAACTATTGCTTTTTCATTTTTCAGCTTAATGATAATAGTAGCATTTTTTAGATAATCTTCTATTTTTTAATTATTATTATTTTATATTCTATATTATAAAAAAATTATAAAAATCAATTAAATTAGCTTATTTTAACAATTAATAATTAAATATTATTTAATTTTAATTTAAAAGAAAGCAAATTTTAATTTTCTTAATTATCAACTTTGTTCAAAAAATTTAAAGATCTGCTAAATCATATGTAAATTATCATTATTATAAATAAAAATTTTTAATATAAAGAAATTATATATAGCAAAAAAAAACTTTTATAATTAAATTAATTTTATGTTTATAAAATAAATTACAAATTATAT